GCTCAGCAATAAAAGCAAAGAGAAAGGAGGAGGAAGGGGGTCATTATTTCTTTATGTTTGTCTTCTGAAGCCATTGCTATGTGTACCGGAGCCCTGCTTCCTGGGAAGTGGCTGGACAATGCCTGTTGATGGGAAGTAGAGAACAAATCTTTGTGTTACTTTGCTTCCACGTGCAGCCCTTTGCTTTATTAATCTGCCTTTATCTTGACCCACAAGTTTTTTTTTTTCCATCCTATTTTCTCCTCGCCCCTGCCCAGCTGAGGAGGGGAGTGACAGAGCAGGTTGGTGGGCACGTGGGCTCCAGTCAGGGTCAGTCCACCACAGCAGATCACACGTGGGCTGCTGGAAGCAACAGTCAGAGATGAAAGTGTCTCATACAATGCTTTCCCAGAAGAACCCAAGCCATCCTCGTTTAAGTATTCTATCGCATGTTCTGTTCTGGGGCATGAGGATGCCTGTTCCCTGCAGCCGATGGTGGACAGAGAACAAAGCAGCTTGTGAGCTCCAGGGAAGACATTCCCTCCTTTCTCAGGCTCCCTCAGCCAAGTGGGACCGGAGGCCGTATGTTACTCCTCACTCCTCTCCTCCTGTGTTCTGTGAATGGGATTTTTGACAGTCTTTATTTCCATTCCAATTTATAGAGAATTGTGGCTTCAAAGGAAAGCCATGCAGTCTGAATTCAGCTCACTGCTGCAATCCTGTTCACAGGTATGAGTCTGGGTCTGCAGGATCTCTGGAGCAAGAGCTCCTATCTTGGATTTAACATCCACAGGCAGCAGATTTAAACCGGGCTGATCATCAGCAGAGGAAGTGGAGGACCTTGCTCACACAAGAAAGCAGCACGGCAGGGATCACGGCTGTACCTCTAGTTGGTTGGGAATTGCTGGAAGCAGTAATCCAAGGCAGATCACCTGGCCATAGTCATGAGGGCTGTCTCTGTTTTCAGCTCCAACAGCAATAGGGACTGGATGACCCAGGTTCAATTTCTTTGCCTGGATGATGAGGAATCCGTAACTGTGCTACCACAAGGGTCTGCTTCTTCCAGTCTTTGACCAGAAACTCAGGAAGCTTACCCAAGAATGGCATTAAGCCTGGCAGACACCTACCTACTGTAAACCAGAGGAGGCACTGCTTTTATGTCAGCTGCTGCCCAGTCGTGGTGCTGTTGGATCTTCTGGGGCAACGCCCGCAGTTCTTGCACTCGTTCCAATCCCTACTGCAGCAGCAACAACAGATGCAGATCACTGTTTCCACTGTACTGTGCCCTGTTTCTGTGCCAGCTGTAATTACACCCACAAGCACCTTCTACGTACACTTCCTTGCAACTTGGGACCGAACAAATTCGATACAAGAAGACATACTCATGTTGCACTTAGTTATTAAAGTGTGGGAGCAAGAGAGTGGCAAGTTTGGTATTTTCTTCCTTCAAAATGAAAGTTGTTATCTTTAAGAAACAAAACCAAAGCCCTCCACAGCCCACTTATATCTTACAGGTGGCACTCAGCAGCTGGAATATATATGACCTTTGCTAGAAGTCCATCTGAAGATGTATTTTTAATTTATTCAGGAAGAAAGTTAAGGTATCTTGAGAGCAACTGCATCCTCAGGCCTATAGCATGAGCTTAATATCCAAGACCAGAGCAGAAGCAACAAAACTGACCTTATCTGAACATGATGAGTTAGTTTCAAGGTCTTGAAGTTAATGTGATCATGTCGCCGCCTACCTCAGCCATCACAAGTTTCTGAAAAGTTTAGAATATGTCTAAATCCTTCCCACCATAAAGATGTTTTTCTGTCACACATTTTATTAAATAAAAAAGGATGTGTTGTGACAGCTGAGAACAGAAAAAAACAGTAGGAACAAAGGCTCTCCCATACAGCAGGTTGGAAAAATCAAGCCACGATTTGAAACAAAACCACAGCATGTACAATAACAAGATACAAAAAGTGATAGAAAGAGTAAGGCAGTAGAAGCAAAAACCTGTTTTATCTGGGAATACAGGTAAAACAGAAGAATGCAGCAATCTCCATGGACATACAGGTAAGTTCTGACAGAAAGTATCAGAGTCTGGTGAGGTCGAAGGTCCTGTCTGTATTAAGCTCTGCACGGGACTTCACGAGAAGGCCAAAGAGCACAAGATACAAGGAGCAATCCTATATAAAGCTCAACATTTCAAAAAGCATCTGAGCAGGTGACTTACTCAACACAGCAAGTAAAGTTATTGGTTGTTCGTTCTGATTAGTTAGTTAATGCTAGGAACAATAGTACCACGATTCTCAAACTAGAAACTGAGGTAGTCATCTCCTATTTAATAACATCATAGGCAAAAAGAAAACAACATACATATATATTGTTAAAAATCGTTCAACAAAGTAGAAACAAAAACAGACAGAAAAAAAAGAGAATTAATCCTGCTCATGTCAAAGACATTAAGGATACAGAACAGCTACAATGGATTTTAGCTTCCCTTTCTCTTCCTTTGCTATTTTGAGGTACACAGATAAATGGTTTCTCAGTCACTTTCTCTGGAGAGATATATTAAATGCTTTACAATGGTTAAGATGACTTTGCCAAATTGTTCAGGTATAAAAATGAATGGAAACCAGGAGCGTCTGCAAGTCTTTCTTGGCTAAAAAAAGTACTACATTGCGGATTTTTTTCTTTTCATTCCCCAGACCAGAGAAAGAGCATTTTCCTTAACAACTCAGAAGAAATGAGGTGTGACAACTGCACATGAATATCACATTCACTAAAATTTCAGAATTATTCTGTATTATTGTCTATACCATACACTGAACATTCTTTTCAAATGTAGTGAAACATTTATCAAGTAAAAATAATTTTAAATCCCTTTGTTACCTAAACTTTTGCCAGTCAAAAGGCAGTACCCTAACTCGAAAACAATAATTGACTCAATTTTTCATTCTCCTGTTTGCATTAAGCTGGATATAAGCTCTGGAAAAAGAGATCTAAGATGGTCATGTAAGGAAGGACTCGACAAACCTCTCCACCCCTCATCTCACACCTCCCTGCACCCGCTACCATTCCTCTGCCCAGGTCTGCTGGAAAATCAGTGTGAAGCAGCAAAGAGGTGGATGCACTATTTCCATGCAACCTGCTGAAGCCTGTCCGTGAAAGCTCATTGCAGGGAAAAACAGCAGGCAGACAGACAGACAGAAATAAGGGCTCGGTTGAGTTATTTTCTTGTTTTAAAATTAAAACCAGGAAGTGTTAAAAGATGACTTAATGAGGTTTTTCTTCACACCCTCATCTTTCCAACCTCTGTAGTATCATGCATAATAGAATTCAAATTGGCTGTGTTTCCACTTGAAATGACAACACAGAATGCCAACTCAGTTAAAGGTCTGTTAGGCTTTGTTAGTTGCTTGAAAAGGCACTCATCTCTCTCTATTTCTTTAACATGCTGCAATATTTTTGGCTTTTAGGGTTTTGTTCCCAATTTGGAAGGCAGAGAAGGGCAGAGGAGAAGAGGGTGGAGAACAGCATGCTTTTATTTATTAGGAGAAGGCTTTAAGTAACAACTGAGATAGGAAGGACTACAAAATAATTGTTATTAAATTCCTGGGTATCTTGCATCATAAGAAGACGTAGAACGTTTGTGCCATACAGACCTGACAGGGCAGTTTACATTTTATGAACTCAAATTACAAAGACTGTGTATGTGCAGGTACACATTTAAAACTGGTACTGCTGAACAACTGAAAATTAATCAAGCATATCCATTCACAATAGCTCCTTTTTTTCCTAACCAAAAAAATTACGTGAAAATCCAGTTCTTTCCATTAGGAAAGACTGCAAAGGTAGCAGATATATCTTATCAAGACTAAAGCCAAAAGCTGCCAAACTACAATTTATATACCATCTCCCAGTGTTTAGAAATAATCTGAAGGCTTTAATGTATTTAAATTTGTTTGAACAAATCTCAGCATAGATATTAGATAACAGAACAATGCAAATTCTTAGATATGTCCAAGGAATTAGCTGAAAAATATTCTCAGGTAAACTACAGATGCTGGATTACTTTAGGGTTTGGAAGGTGAGCAGTACTGCCTGCTAATTATTTGCTTGTGAGCCTAGTTGCGAGTAAGGCTCCATCCTAGGTCATGTGGATAACTGTTCCAGAGAACATTATAGAGCATTTTCTACCAGAAAGAAGGCCACAAAACTCTTGGCACCATGCGAATGAACCCAAAACTGAGACACTTCATGGACAAATACTTGCAAAGCCCACAGAATCATCCTAAATGGTATAAGTAACTTTTGCACCATACACTAACGCATGCAGTCTGGGCAAACAGCCTTCTATGTTCCAAAGACACTTTCACTAAGAATGATGGTGGTTCTGTGCACTCAATGGCAGAAATATAAACAAACTTAGCAGTGAATAATAATTTTAAAAAGTCTGGTAAGATAGTTGAAGATTTTCAGTCTACCAAAACTGCAGTCATACAGCTTCTGTTTATGTTGTCCATCCAATGGAAGTAAGATATTTAACATTCCTCTATGGATATAAGCATGCTAGATTTCTTGAGACAAATACTCTGACAGTTTTCCCACTACAGCACCACTACCTACCTTCAGTACATTTTGCCAGCAGCACAATTAGGGAGTAAAAGAAAGGAACTCTCACAAAGAACAACCTTGCTTCATCCACAGAGCTAAAAGCAGTGTTCCTGGGACATTTCCTTCCAGGCACTCTTTATCCACACAAAGGACAAAAAAACATAAAGCCATCCTTTGCCACATTTTACAGTAAGCAAATTAATAATCTGAGGAAAGGAAAAAAGCAGCAACTTTCATAGACTACATTCACTGTATGTAGTAAATCGTCATTTATGCGCAATAAAGGAGACAGGTTAAAGGAAACAAAAAACATTTGGTTACTTCTTGCCCAGTGAATATTACAAAAGCTGTACAATTTGCAAGAGATATTTGTAAAGTAGAACAGTTAGTCCAAGATGTAGTATCCATCACCTACCTTGTAGAAGGGCTCCATTTCTCTTGAAAAAGGTGCTTCCTGGCCAAATGGGTGGACCTGATGTGCTAAAGGTAAGAAGAAATAAGTGTAAAGAAAATCTCATTTACATTAAACAGTAATAAGTTACTATTTGCATGAGTTGTGTTTTGTTTTTAAAGCTAATGTAACATCATGGCATTTTTGCCTTCAAGCAAGGGTCTAAAATTTCACATTAAAAATAGGTCAACTTGATTCAAGATTCACGTTCTCTTCACAAGGAAAAACCTCCTCAGCAGAGCACACGCCTACACTCTCTCAGAGGAAGAGAGAAAAAAGCCATTTGGAATAAATAGTAAAAAAACCCCGAATCAGTGTCAAAAATATTTACTGAATTCTCAGTACAGCAAAATAGACTCCCAAAGCCATCTGCTAACAACCCAAATGCTTTAGGCTTTTACTCAACCATAACAACAGGCTACCCCAGCTAACGCATCAACCCGGAAAGGCCTAGGCCAGGCAAATGGGTGGTTTCTGTGCGCCCACCAAACCCCTGCACAGGCAGAGGTCACCCCGCTGCATCCCAGAACACGCTGCTCAGCGAGCTGTCCCGCGAGCACCAGAATTAATGAGGCCTGGTCTTTGCTGTGCATGCGTGACTGCTGACCAGGGTGGGCCCTCAGGTGCCTGGCACAGGTGAGCTCCCGCCTGAACTGAAGCCCTTTCCTGAACTCAGGCCACCATCAGGTCCCTCTTTTGCTTCACCTCCTGCTCGTGCAGAGATTGACGCAAGGTACCGGCCTCAGAGAGGCCTCTCCTGTGACAAGCGCAGCTAAAGGCAAAGAACAGATTCAAACATGGGACAAGACAGAAGAGGAAGAGGAAGGAACATCAGTATGATCCTCAAGACCTTGTTTCCTTTGTTGCCTCAGAGCACCTCATGGTGGGTGCAGGTCGCACCCACTCCAACAACCAGCGGTGCTGGCGAGCCAGAGAAGAGGTGAGGCTGTGAGGGAGCGCCTGATGGCCACCCGCTCCCCTTCTCTCCCGCCATAGCACTGTTGCTCCGACATCACCACACCACAACAGCTCTCCTTCCTGTGTCAGCAAGGATGACCAAACTTCCCGGACATAAAAGGTAACCTTGCTTTTTCCCTAACAGTACAGGTGACCTCCTCCCAATGCGGCACAGCTCGCCCTCCCAGGGAAATGGCGCCTGTGCCGCCCAGAGCGACAGTGCTGCTGCCGCCATTGCTCTTGCTTGAGGGGAGTCCTCACGGAGAGGCACTACCTGTGGGAGCTCACTCATCACCCAGGACTTTGCCTAGGGCTCAGGCATAGCAAGTATTTTAGAAGCACAGTACCTAGGGGAAATAGCTAAAAACGTGGAAAAGATTTGCTGCAGCGTTGTCAAGGCAGGTGGAAGAGACAGATTGCCAGAGGGGCGTTCCTGTAGTCATGAACAGGTTTCAAAGTCCTCTAAAGCTTGAAAGCAATCACAGGTATCTTAATACATTAGGCTTTTATTGAAACTAGTATCACGAAACTATGCTATCAATATATAATTGCCCTATGCTTGAATTTGAGCACAAATTAGAAATAAAGGACTAAATATCCTTTGGTAAGATTACTGTAAGGCATTCTGCCTTTTTAAGGTAATCCACTGTGCTGGGTTTGTGTGGCAAGGACTGAGGGATTGCACCCTACAGAAGGGACCCAGCTGGAGCAGGTCATGAAGAACTACAGCCTGTGGGAACGACTCGCATCGGAGGAGCTCATGGTGGAATGTCTCCCATGGGAGGAACCCCACGCTGGAGCAGGGGCAGAGTGTGAGGATGCCTCCCACCCAAGGAGGAAGGAGCGGCAGAGACAACTTGTGATGGACCGACCACAACCCCCATTCCCTGTCCCCCTGCGCTGCTGGGGTTGAGTTGGGGTGGGGTTGGGGGTAGATCAGAAGCAAAGCTGAGCCCAGGAAGAAGGGAGCGGTGGAAGGAATATTTTTAAGGTCTGATTTTTGTATCTCACTGTCCTACTCTGATTTGTTTAGTAACTAGTTAAATTGATTTATTCCCCAGGTCAAGTCTGTTTTGCTTGTGACCATAACCAGTGAGAGGTCCCTCCCTGTCCTTTGTCTCAACCCATGAGACTCACCTGGTATTTTCTCCTCCCCATCCCACCGGGGGAGGAGTGAGCGAGCGGCTGTGTGGTGCTTCAGTGCTGGATGGGCCTAAACCACAACATTCACCTTCCTCTTTGGATGCAAAATGTGAACCAAGCCCCACGCACCATTTCTGTTCTAAGTTACTTTCATCTCCTCCTGGGTTGACTACTGCTACACAAAATGCAATGAAATGGAAACCAGATGTTGTCTAGTACATCGACTCGACTGCATTAGCAAAGTTCTAATAAAATGCCATATATAAAAAACACACTGCTTTCACAAGTATTTTGCAGAGACTCTTGTGCTAATGTATAAAAACTTCACTGTGTTAAAATAAGGACTGTAAAAGGATCCAAAGCAATTACATGACTAATAAAAACCTTCGATAGTCCTGAACAAAAAGAGGAGTTAGAGAGAGAGAGATCAAAATGACCAAAAGAAAGTTAAGTAGGTCTACATTCATAAGTGTTGGAGTGTGCTGGGGCACGCACTTCTGAATATGCACACTCACTTCATAATTAATGTAACCAATTGTTTGCATTCCTTATAGTAAGTGCCAGCTCTGCAAGCGTAGCTCCTCAGCTCACACGAAAGTCAAGAGCTGTTGAGGACATGCACACTCCTGTAGGACAGGCTCATAGTTTTATAGCACATCGGAGTCCAGGATAATCTCTGGGACAGGACTCGTCAAGCTACAGGTGGAAAGCTGTAACACAGCCTCTCTACTGTACAAATTCACCACAGAAATCAGAAAACACAGTATGGCGACTACATGCCTTTCAAAAGCCCATTTAAAAAATGGTGAAATTCTGAAGTGAAGCCACAGAAAACATTTATTCCCAGGCTGCTGTATCCCTGTACATGGATGGGAAATGGTTAAAGAAAGGAGAAGGAAAAGCGTATATATTTGAATAGACAAAATGTCTCCACTAGAGAAACAAAGCCATAGTGATTTATCTTATTTTCCAACTTGAAAAAAGGCCCAAGGCTCTCATAAAAAAGCTCCATCTGATTCAGCACAAACCCACATGAACTGAGAAAATTAACTGTGCCTTCCCAGGGAAGGAAGCTAAAGAATTCAAGCATGTAAATAATGTACCGCAGCGACCGGTCAAGCCTTTCAAACAACAAACTTCTGTGTTTGCAGGGCTTTGCTGAAGTTTAGCTCTGCCTGACCTGTGCTGGATAAATTCTCTTTCTGTTCCCAACCCTTGGCACGTGAAGTCTCAGATGGTATGAATTATTAAAACATATTTCAAATTGAGAAATAACGGAGTTAAACTATCTCTCTCTTTAAAGTGTTCAAAAGCTGCTTTCTCCCTGTTGCAGATTAAGAAAACATTTGAGGAAGTTCATTCTTCTAAAGACCATCTATAACAAAAACACATTTGGTCCATCCCAGGTGTTTTTTTCAAATGAATTGTTTCTTCAGCGTAGTGTGTAAGCTCCTGGAGAAGCGTGGCTGGTTCTCCTACATACGTAACAGCATATTCTGTATTTAGGCAAAATAAAAATGCAAAATCTGGTTTTAGAATTTTTTTTCTGTAATCAATACATGCTGCAAGATTAACATTCATGCAATTAGCATTATTGATGGCAGTTTTTCCCAAAACATATCAACCAAATTGAATAGTAGTATTCAATTTCTAACAAATCCCCACACAGCTACTAGAAGAAAAGCAGTAACTAGTTTGAACTTTTGTACGAGTGCTAAGAAACGTGTGGCCTGATACACAGTTTGGACTGACTTAACTCCCCGCAGCAGATGAGCACAGGGATGTGGGGAGGTGAGGAGGGGGAGAAGGGCTTGGATCAATCAGAAGGAGCAAAGATTTCAAACTAATGTCTTGAAAGAACATGAACTAGTATAGTTTATGGGTAAGAGAAAATGTGAAACACCAAGATACCTGTCAAGGACTGTTGGTTTGATTGGAAGAAAATACCCTCAGTCAAAGAGATGCCCAGGCTGCAACAGTATCTGCCACAAATGCATAAAACAGGATGCGGGGGTGCAAGTTGATGTCCATCGGGAGCAGGATCCACCTCTCTCTGAAGCAGAGTCACTGTCGCTGCGACAGCCGTGCACCACCACAGGGAGCAAGCGGAGTGTGCACACGCTTGCTGAAAACCAGGGGCCGAGAGAGCTGACCAACAGTGTTTAACCCGTGAGCATCTGCTCGTGTGCAGTGGGACACCTGGAACCAGGAGCCACCCCTGACCAAACCCAACCTTGCCCAGGGATTCGCTATCGATTTCTAATGGCAAGCGGGACTCGATTTCCACTCAAGGCGAGCGATCGGCTGTTTTTCCTCTGATGACACAACCAGTAGGAAACTTTGTTGTGCCACAGGGCCCCGGGCATGGGAAGCCGCCTGACCGAGGGCTAGCAGGGGTTTTTCTGAGGGAAGGCTTTTCCATAGGAAAATGTTGCTTTGTTGAAATCTAAAACATTCCATGGGAATGCGTTGATTTGGACACCACTTGTGCTGGAAACCAGGCCGACGTAAAGGCTGGCTGGCCGCGCGCCAGCCAGGGTTCATGGCAGCCGGCCAGCCCAACCAGGAGCTCCCAGGGCATACAAAAGCAATAATGCATGTCAGACACCACCCTCCCCACACCCCCAGTTAATTATTTCTACAAAAATGTATGCCACACATTTATAAAAAATCTTTAAAAGGTGCGTAGGCTTCAAGAGATTTAAAAAAGGAAATATAAATCCTATGTCTTCTGCAATTCACATTAGAGCAAGGGGACTGCAGTTCTTAAAGCCAAGTGCTAAAAAAAAGCCAGGGTACGAATTCTCTCTCACAGTTGCAGCATTTCACAACTAGGCCAAAACCACTAACAGGCCTCTTTGTCAGAGAGGCCTGATTAATAGATTTAAAAAACCCAAACAACTAAAAATTCAAAACAAATTCAATTGTATGGAACTACACACCACAATTAAGGGATGATGAAAACACAGAAGAAAGGCAACAAATACAGGCCAATGACTGTGTTACCAAATACGTCCAGAGAGTGATGGTAAGCAGGAGGACACTGAAAGGGGGGAAACCAAACAACTCCCCCTGGCCCTGAATGCACACTTCAAAGGCCACTGGAGCAGGGAGCTATTAGCCCAAAGAAGGAAGGCTGAGCAGGGAGGCAGGGAAGATGCTCCACACACACCTGACCACCATGGCCAAGAGGTGGTGGGCTCAGCTACTGGGACATAGCTGGAAAGCATGGAGTGCAGGGCAGGACAGCACGATAAGGGGTAGACAGATGAAAGGTGTCAGCTGTACGCTAACAAGCTGTTGCACACAATATATCCAACACAGAGCCTGCAGGGACACAGGCCATCCCCTCTCCAGCCCTTACCAGTGGCAAAAATAATGGGGAGAAGCTAAGATGATTGACTGAAGCATCTCTACATCCAGCTCCGACCACAGATTTTGCAAAAACGCATGGCAGGAAGGAATACAACTCGCCCTCTCCTGAAAAGCACAGTAAGTTCCCAATAATGCAGAACAAGTGGATGGGAGAGCACGCAATTCACCGTGATCATCACTCTCTGCCCCAGGGTCAACAGCGTTTATCAGGGCGGAATTGTAACTGAAAATTCTCAGGAGGAAGCTGCAGGTGCCAGGTGAAGGGAACGAAGGCATTGCTGTACCCGTGCTGCAAACACTCCATTACCAACCCTTCAACAGTGCAAAATACTTCACTGTAAGTCTCACTACACCTCGGACAAACAGTGAACTGAAGGAAATGGAAAGAACGTCAAACCTCAAAGAGTAACCAACGGAGCATCTTGCAGGTACAGAAACCCACCTCTGAAAGTTTCTGAAAGGCAACTAAACCACAATTATTCCTATGTTCAAGTTGCTGAGGTAACAATAGCTGTAGGTGCCTTTGCCTGGCTGCAGCCCATGAAACCCTGCTTTTACTGGCAGCAGAGAATGATGCTCTTGACAACACCTTCGGCTCCCGATGCAAGCTGGACTCAAGACTGCTCTCATAAGGTACATAAATGGATGTCCACCTCAGCTGGAAGACTGTAATTTTTAGCATTCCTTGAGATGTTAATTTAGGATTGGGTGGTAACT